TGTTTTGAGAAACGATGTACAAATGCGCTTTACACAATTGATGTGTGTATGGATTGGGATAACAGTTGTATGAGCCCCTAATAAAATGTTAAAATTTAAAAAAAAATTAAAAAAAAGAAGATGGAGAGAAACCCGGGGAATGACAGCAAAGAGAAGATGAGTCTTACTGCTTTTCTACTCTGTGGTTTAACATATCGCTCTGTTCAAAAAAACAAAGCTGTTTTTTTTAAACATGATTTTAAATGTATTGGTGGCATCACAGGTTACACGCTGGGCTGCCAACCAGTTAGCAGGTTGGACGCATCAGACGCCGTACCAGAGAAAGACAAGCTTTCCGCTCCTGGAAACGTCCACAGGCTGACACCGAGGGGGCAGTTCTCCTCTGTGCTCTACACTGTGTGGCGCGGGAATCGACTCGCTGGCAGTGAGTTGAGGTTTAAACTGTATACTAATCGTCAGTCATTATCGGAGCTACTAAAGAGTGAATTTTATGTAGAATTTTAATGACCAAACAGGTGCAGACTGGACCACCTTATCACGTCCAAGTGGATGCTCACAGTTGGCCCCGTCTTCGATCTCCCCCATGCTGGGCGGCAATGCAGACTGCTGTGACCACAGGGCTGTCATTGGCTGACTTTCAGGAGTGACTGTCAGGCCTTTCTTCCTGCTCAGTCTTAGTCTCAAAGCTTCCACGGAGACCAGCTCAGTGTCATCGCTGCCCTGGCTGGCTGACGGGCGGGGGCTGTGCATGAGGTGCACTGGCAGGAATCAAACCCGAGGCTGCCACACGGACGGGCACGATGTGCCTCGGAGTCCCTGCTGCCCCCTCCTCTCCGAGGTAGAAGCAAGATTCCCTTACTGAACTTCCAAGAGGGGCTGCCGCCCCCTCCTTGCCACAGTCCAGACCAGTGCCACACAAAGAAGTGGTGAGTTTAGGTGCCGAGTCAGAGCCAAGGCCGCCAGTGACGGCAGTGTCGCTGCTGGACGACGGACTAAAGGCTAAAGATGAGCAGGCAGGACGGGCGGGAGAGGCCACGTCTGAGGGAACACGGAAACACAGGGCATGCTGAGAAACTGGCCAGAAAGAACCAGGAGAGCCCACATTGCACTGCAAGCTTCGCCTTCTTCCATATTCCCCCGGGACCTGGGTCAGTTGACTATTTCCCCCTCAAATACAATGCCAAGCTGGGGGTCAAAGACAACTCCCACGGAATGGCTTTATTCCTGCTAGCCCTGCGCCACTGGGCACCATTCAGATGCCCGCCCAGGAATGATCTACCTGGGGCACTAGCTCTCCACACCCCTCCACCCCCCGCCCCGCCCCACAACTTCCCTTCCAAGAACATCCCCAGATGACTCCAGCCTTCCCTCCTCCACAAACTGGGAGCGCCCCTTCAGCTCACACCTCTGCTGAAGCAGCGGTTCAGAGAAAACCCTCTCAACCCTGAGCCCCACCACCTCAAGCTCCATAGACCAGCACCAGCACTCTTGCTGAGTGACTCTCCAGGCCACACCATTCTGCTCCCAAGGGGCTCGGTCCTCTTTCCTGTCCAAGTGCCAGAGCCAAGTTTTCTTCTCCCACTTGCAGAGAGGGATCTAGCTCATCTCTCTCCTCTAAACTCCTGCCAGGCCTGTTCCACTTTGCTGGGCTTGGTCCTTTCAAGAAGTTCACGCAACCACCTTCATTCATACCATCATCTCTCTGGAAATTACATTTGCAAATCTCCCGTGAGGTCCCCCCCTTTTTCTCCCTGCTTGGCTGCCCTCTCCCAAATCAAGCGTTCCCTCTCCTCCCCCTGAGACAAGGACGAGAACACACCTGACGTTGGACCTTCCGAACCGGATTCCCAGGAGACTGAATCAGTACTGGAATTACTTAGGGCTGGGACTCCGGGATTCTTTGCCAGGTTAACACCATATACTCAACGATCTAAGTCAGTGGTTCTCGACCTTCCTCATGCTGCGACCCTTTAATACAGTTCCTCATGTGGCGGTGACCCTCCCCAACCATAAAATTATTGCTGTTGTTACTTCATCACTGTCATTTTGCTACTGTTATGAATCGGGGGACCCCTGTGAAAGGGTCATTGGACCCCCAAAGGGCTCACCACCCACAGGTCACCGTTGCATCATTGCAAAGCTTTCCCCTGACCTTCAATAAGAAGTCTTTACACATCCTACGACTGAATCTCATGTTTGTTTGTTTTGCCTGTTCCTCCCTGCAAAAGAGCACACCCCTCCCAAGCAATTCCTAAGAAACCCATCCACGAAACACAGGCTGAGCTGGCTTCTGGGCCACAGCTGTATTGCTGTGGGGGGGCCTGGTGTTAACAGTTCCCAACCCTGAAATCTTTAAAGGATTAATAAAATGTAAGTTTATTCAGCTATCAAAGAGCCTCTCTTCACCCTCAAAAAAATCTCACCACGGTGGAGTCAATTCCAACTCACAGCGACCCTATAGGGCAGAGCTGAACTGCCCTGTGGATTTTGGGGCTTGTACATCTTTATGGGAACAGATATCTACACCTTCCTCCCAAGGAGCTGGTGGGCTTGAACCCCCTTTGGGGGTCCAATGACCCTTTCACAGGTGGGCCCAGCCCAACACATAACCCGCCACCTGGGCTCCTCCAGCCCTCCCTAAAGTCTGTTTCATCTGTGCTCCTTTTCAGTTTTCTTTTTAATACAGAGGAGGGGGCTTCAAAAAGTTCACGGGAAAATGGAACTGAGATATAATGGAGTTTTTCCACAAACGTTTTAAAGCTTCCTCCTCTGTAATAAAACACTGGCCATTCTACAACCGACACCGCACGATTCTGACATGAATTAGGTCTAGGTGTTGGTCAGTCATCACCCTTTCCAGTCCCCCAAATTTCTATCTCCCTTAACTGAAGCTCAGTGCTCCCTAAGCAGGGAGGCATCCTCCCGCACACATCCTCCCAGCCCTGCGCGCCGCTGAGAGGAAACTCCGGTCCCTGTGTTCCTGCTAGCTTGGGAAGCCAATTTCCATGGAAGCCCTGGCAGGTTGCATGACACACACTGCCTTGGCAGCCCCAGGCCTGGCCTGACTCACAGGAGAAGAGTCAAGGAGCATCCCAGAAGCCGGGATTCGGACAGTTTCACAGCTGTTCGTCTGGCCTGTGTTGTTAGTATCCTTGGGAGGTCTCAAAATGTTTGTGGATGGATGGAATGAAAAGATAATGGAAGTGGTCGTCACCAAGGCTTTTAGAATGCAGCTTCGGATCTGCTTTGGACAAGACCACAAAAAAATTTCCCAAGAGGTTTTTGCTCTTTTCTTGCGACCTTGCTAGCATCCCACCAACTGGGGGCACCAACTGCTGAGATCTACACTCATAGGATTATTAAAGCTACACATTTTCTACAGGCTCGAGCATGAAACTCAGTGAAGTTTTAGTTTTGTGCAGAAAAAAATTTTAAAAATAAATAAGCGATCATGGAAATGTCTCATGAACTTTGGGAAGCCCCTTGGACTTAATTAACGGGCACTGCTGCCTACGAGCTACAGAACTGATCCTGAGCAGCTCTGAGTAGGTCACCGTTGGCCGGCAGCACTGAGACAGACTTTGGGGATTGTCTGTAGCCGGAGACGATGAACATGACCCCTAGACTCCTCACCCACCTAGCCACAGTGGCACCCAGTCACAGACACACATACCTGAAAAAAAAGTCACATACATGCAGAAAGTCACACCCAGGCACAGAAATACAGTCACAGGTATCAATGCACATGCTGACCCACACAAGCATGCATGCCAACACGCACACGTCCATGCAACCTCAGGAATCATCCCAGCAAGCAGAGTTTAAATACCAAAAAAAATGGCCTTACCTTCTTCAGAGGGAAAGCTCACTCTCCCAGGAACAATGCCTTTCCTCGGGAGCCACCCTCCAATCCCGTGCGTGTCTCTGCAGTGCTGTGGTCACCGGTGCTCAGCACGAAACACTTTCAGGTGCTGGAGGAATTCCGGCTTTTATAACCCACAGAGACTGGCCCAAATTGTATAACTGCTCTAACAAATCAGAAATGCTGCTGGCGTTACACCACAGCCCCCACCTGGTTCCCGACGGTTACTGCATGCTGCTGTGAGTCTCCTCCTCTGTGTGAGCCCACAGGGCAAGCTATTACAGAAACCAGATGCTGAGCTTACGTGTCTGAAATGCGCATAAATAAAGGAAATAGAAGCCTCTGTCTCCAAACCCTTTGGCTCAATGCGAGCCGGTCCACCCACACTGCTCCCAGCTCTGTGAAAAGGTGGATTCATTTTTACTCTTTGGTGATATCTCATTACCCCAATGGGGAGGTGGGGGATACACATACTGACCCAGACATGCATACATGCGGGAAGGGGGGGTTGTCTAGAAAGACAACTGTTTCCCAAGATAAAGAACTTCAAACCAAAACCCAAACGCTGTCATCAAGTCGATCCCAACTCATGGTGACTTTAGTGGGCAAGGTAGAAGGGCCCCAGCGGTTCCCGAGACTGGAACTCTTTATCGGAGTAAAAAGCCTCAGCTTTCTCCCGAGGAGCGGCTGGTGGTTTCAAACTGCTGATCTTGTAGTCAGCAGCCCAATGCATAACCACTAATCCACCAGGGCTCCCGAAGAACTTCAGGAGAAGAAAACTAAATCTCAAGGTGTGATACCGTCACTAAATCTCAAGGTGTGAGAGCTTCATTAAACGGCTTGGCAAAGGCCACCAACCGTTGTGGTGGTATAGGGGCAACCGAGCCGAGTTCCACGTGGTATCCGGCAGCAGGGCCCTGCTGGAGAGGTCCCACTGAACAGAACGATGCCGTGAAGACGCAACCAAGGCTAGCCCAGACGGACAGTCTGAGACCAGAAGACTCACGCCAGAGTCATCCAGGGCCAGAGGGCAGACTTCCTTCCTGCACCTGGTGTGGGCCAGTCTGGCCAGAAACTTGGGCAATGGGTGCCTTCTGCCCTCTGGGATGTGTCTGTGGGAGGGTACGACTGTGCCCATCTCCCCAACACCAGACTGCACTTCCCAAATCCAAACAGGGCCCTTGGGGATCAAACGTTGTACCAGGCAGAAGGGGCACAGCGGCAGGGCAGGCGAGGGGCAGGCAACCCTCCAGAGAAAAGCAGCCGCAAGTATTAATTGTCCACGAGTGCCCTCGGGGAGCCCGGCACAGGGCAGAAGAGGAAGAGGTGACCTGCCTGGAGCAGGGGCCCTCAGAAGACCTGGGGGTGGGCTGGGAGCCGAGGCCCACCTCTACATGTGACCAGGACAGGACACAGCCCACACAGGATACACCCCACTTGGCTGGTACAACATGTTGAGCGAGGTAGACCAGACGGCCCTGACTCCCGGGAAAGCCACTAGGGAAAACCTTCAAAATGCCCTATGGAAAGACACTCCGGTTCATACAGTCCAAGAACTCGGCTCCGGATATTCTGTGGAAGGCTCTAACCTGGTAGGAAATCCGCTGCAGGAGCCCGAAAAAATGTCACAGACATGTGACATGTACAAATAAAGACAAAGGATCAGTCACGGGACGAAAGTGCCTGAAACCAACCAACAGGTGTTGTGGGTGGGGGGGGCATATAAGGAAACGAAAAACACAGCATTCACTCAGAAAGGAAAAAAGCGAAGTGAAACGGTAGAAAACAGAAACAAGGGTGGAGAGCAGGCTGGAGGGGCAAGGAAAGAGGGGCGACGGAAAAACCGAACCAGCGGAGGCGAAAGAGTGGGGGCCAAGACAGGAAGAATCAATCCGTGCCTCTTAATTGGGTTTAAAAACAAAAGGAACAAAGAAGCCAGTCACAAAGGTCACCACCAAATGTATGACTTCATGTATGTGAAATGTCCAAAGCGGCAGATTATAGGCACAGAAAGTAGGTCCCTGGCTGCCCGGGGCTGGGGCGGCGCTGCGTGGGGGATGGAAAGGCCCCCCGGTCAGTTTGCTGGTGCTGGCTCTGTGAACGTAGGGAAGCGCCCTTCAACCACGTGAACTTGAGCTTTGTGTGGCATGTGAACTATATCTCAATAAAGCTTTTTCTTAAAGAGGCTTATGGAGACAGGAACGAGTAGAACAGGCTGGATCACAGCTATCCTATAAAACGAATTCAAAAATAAACCCACAGAAAAATCTGGCTAGGGATTACAAGGGCACACCAATTTCCGGCAAAAGAGAAACCTACACACCCTTTGTGCCCAGGCTCACTGAACCACCACCATCCCGTCCCTTACGGATGAGAGTCGCAGACATACACAGGGAGGGCAGTCGTATTTAAAGAGTTGCTACTTAAAGCGCAGCAGTAATTATGGTGAACCCAAGATTACCCCCAGCAGCACTAAACGCCAGGGGACAAACGAAAATAACCATCGGGAGGAAAATGAGGAAGGTTTTCTCTAAGGTTTCCACACCCACACAACTTGCCTTTCGCGTGTGGAATCCAAGGGAAAGGTAGTCTTTAAGAAACATAGGCATGAGAGCGGGGTGGGGGTGGGGGGTGGGGGGGTGTTACATCCAGAGAGATCACTATTATATAATCCGTGTGAACCTGGTTATATAACTGAATGCATATGTCCAATTCTTCTGTCAACCTAACCTGAATAATGTAACCCATCATGAAGAACAACGAAGCATATCAAACAAGGTAACACTCATAAAGATTGAAGAGAGCTGTGTGATTAACCATGACAACTGAAGAAATTTGCGGGGGGGTGGAGGGATTATTCTAAATATTTTTCACTATGAGAGGAAAGACTATTACCCTGTTTCCCCGAATATAAGACAGTGTCTTACATTAATGTTTGCTCCCAAAGATGCGCTAGGTTTTATTTTCAGGGGATATCTTATTTTTCCATGAAGAATACGGTACACATTTATTGTTGAACAACAAAAAAAGGAAATTTACTATATACCTGTATATGGTACGGTAGTAGTTGTCCTCACAAACCAGCATAACCAGACAAACTGTGAATCCGTCAGTATCAAGAATTTCTTGTTACTATTTCCATGGACAACAATCTATGGTACATTTACTCACAGTCTATGGTACATTTACTCGCACTGCCTGCCTGCTCCCACTGAGCTGCGGCAGTGGTGCCCGCCGCTATAGTCCAGAGTCCAGAGTTACAGTAGCTTCAGGGGGCCTTATTATCGGGGATGCCTTATGTTCGGGGAGGTCTTATTTTCGAAAGATGCCTTATATTTCAGTGAGAGGCAAAACTGTAAGTAGGTCTTATTTTCAGGGATGTCTTACTTTCGGGGAAACACGGTAGAATGGGATACAGGACACAGAATAAATTCTTGGAGGTAGGTTGAATTCAGTTAATTTTTTAAATACCCTGATGGTATCAAAATAGAAATTGTAAGCCCTGAGCCCTACACAAGAATAAGCAGTTGCTGCCGAGTCGAGTCTGCCCTGTGCCAAGCCCATGTGTCCTGGACCATAACTGTGCCCCACAGGCTTTCCCATAGATGATTTTTTCCCAAATAGAGCGTCTGTTTCCAAGGCACCTCTGGTTGGGCTCAAACCGACTAATAAGCTTTGACCTTCTGCCACCTATCCACTGCCAGTGAGTCAAGTCCAATTCCTGTGACGCCCCTGGCTTCCCAGGCTGTAACGCTCCACATGGGCAGCCAGCCTCCTAACACGCTCCCTTGAAGTGGCTAGTGGGTTTGAACCCCTGGCCTTGTGGTTAGCAGAACAAGGCTCACCTTACAGTGCCACCTGGGCTCCTAAGGACTTGGACACAAGAAGAAAGCAACCTAATGCTGCTTTTTTGCCTTTTCTTTAAACAGACTAAATCCCAATCAAGTGCTCAATGGAGAAAAGTGGGAACGTATGCAATGCACGACAGGATGTCAATCTTTATGTTCTGACCATTGTTTTCCTGACATCAAAAGGAAACCCCTAATTGTTCGAAACACAGAAGAAATGGCTAAGTCTTCATAAACATACCTACCCGGCTCTAGAGCAGGTTTTGTGATTTTGTATTAATTAGAGGCTCTAACCAAAATGATGACATTCAAACTCAAACCCCTTCCTGACCATCGACTCCTTTTGGACGCATAGGGGCCTACTTCAATCTCCGAGCCTGTCAATAGCTATGGGAGCACACAGCTGCATCTTTCTCCTGTGGAGCAAGCAGCTCATGGGTCCGAACCAGGAATCTTGCCATCAGCAACCCACTGACTATCCCACAGCACCAATATAATAGGGCTGACAAAAACAACAAAGAGATCTTTGCCCAACGGCTAAAGATCATTTTGAGAAATACCTTTCATGTCACCAGGACACAGTGAAACCTTGCACCAAAGGGTAAATTTCTATTTCTCATT